AGTCTTATTTTAGCGTGAGGTAACGCGGGGGTCCGTACCGCTTCCGACACCAATTTGTGGGGGTCGCTAGCCCCCGAGATCCCTCCCTCGATAATGCTAACGGCCGGGCTAGCATCATCAATCGCCCCCCCGCTGCTAAGCGAACCGCTGCTAAGTTCCTCACCCATGGTGTGGGAGCCGTCGCCCGAGGGTTCCACCCCACCGCGGGTCCGCGTAGCAGGCATGATTAATTACGTACGCGCACACCCACACACACAGCTCCGTACGGCACTCACTCTTGCGCTTCTCTGCGCCGCGCTGGCCGCTCACGTTACAATCGCGCACCTGGGGTACGCCGATTTCGCACGACGAGAGCTTACGCATACCCCGTACCACACGCGTTCACACTTATAACACGTAACGAGCACACGCCAGCGGGGCACACGCCGACACAACGACTAAAGTCGCCGCCGCCGTGCGCGCGAGATAAACCGTACAACAATGCGCAGCCGATTACGCTATGATCGCGCACCTGGGGGACGCCGATTACGCACGCTGCGAGCTTACGCACACACAGTACCACACGCGTTCCCACACGCTCACACTGCACGACAAGATCACGCGAGACCACGCTTCGCTATTAATGATTTATTACCTGATAACTAATGTTGAATTAGTGAGTCGACGAGGCTGGCCTATTCCACTAAACCGGCACCTATTCCCTATTTATCGGCTATGATTCTAAGTCACCTTCTTACTCACTGTTAAGTGTCCACGGCGGTCCGCTGATCCTTGTGTTAACCGCGTGCCTCGGTGCGTCGCACGGACGTCCGGGTCGCTGGCTCGAGCTGCGTCTGGTCGCCTGGCGCTGGAGTAAGAGAGCGATTTCCCCTCTGCGCTCCTCTATTTATCCTCCCTACCTCCAAAGGGGATGCTGCGCTGAACAATGGGCTCGTGCACCCCAAGCCCGCGCACGGCAGTCCCCAGGCGCTGTTGATATGCTAATCAGTGAGCGACGTTGGCGGCGTACATCCTAATTACTCCCTTACCCTTCCTAACAATGGGGCCTGCGCGCTCAAGCGCAATTATCCCAACCCCCCATGACTATGCGCAACAGCCCCTGTGACCCCGCTATTCATGCTGTCTCGTGCCTCCCCTGCTTGCCCCGTCGACTCGTGGGGGTGTGTGTGGGGGGAAATGCGCCTCAACCGCGGTGGCCGAATGCCCCACGCCGCGACCACACCATATTAAGGCCGGCAGCAGCACCGCGGTACCACGTAGCACGGGGGAGGTCATCCAATTCCCTGATCGCCGGAAACCGTGAGAATTAATCCCGATAAGGGTCTCTCGGATAAAAACCGGTCGATCAGGTAACCTTCCCTTCCAGCTCTATGGGGGGGGGGGGGGGGGATGCGTGCGGGTGTGTGCTTATGTGGGGCGGGTGATGGGGGGCAGTGCGGTGGGGGAAGCCGGGCGGCTCCCTGGCTCGGCAGAGCGGCCCCGTCGCTGTGGCACCACAATAACGCCAGGGGGGGGGGGGGGGGGTTTAAGAGCCGGGAGCCGACAGCTTGGGGCTCGCAGTGGCTACAGCGACTATTGGGAACGGTCGATGCGGCCTCTGCGTTAAACAGCAGAAGACAACGGCACAGTCTGGTTCTCCTACAACGCCGCGTGTTAGTTTGAACAACGCCGATTGGATGATATAACGCCGTGAATGATGTGTAGGGGAACACGCTGTTTGTGACGCGGATGCGGATTGGACGCAACGCGAGCGAGCGAACGGAACGAGGTCGCAACGCGAGTAGGAACAAGCGGTTCTCCGTGCGGCTGCCTCGGCGTAGCGGCATCACGCGAGGAGGCATTGGGATGCTGCTGGATGCTGCTTCTAGACGCTACCCACGCGCCTCAGTCGTAGTCCGGCCTCTGTCTCACCCATCATCTCGCGTGTTGTCGCGGACCACGCTTCACCCCCTATAGTTTATATTATTTCTCCACAACGCGGTGTTCTTCAGGAACGTAACAATGACCACTTCTTCTTGGTTCTTTCGGTAAAGTCACAATAAATGTATTGTTTTATTTTTATTAGTTTATTATTAAATAAAAATTGTATTATTAAATAATAAAAAACTTATTGTAAAATTTATTTTATTATTAAATAACATTTGTATTATTAAATAATAAAACAATAAAAATAAAAAATACTTTATTGTTTTATTTTTATTATTTCCATTCTACGTGACTTTACCGAAAGAACCAAGAAGATGGATCCCTGCAGTCACGAAAGAAGCTTTAAATCGAAATGACCACCGCGTTACAGGAGAACAACAGATCGTGAACGCGCTTCGACGATTCGTGGCAACGGCAACACAAAGCGCCACGCGCAGTCTCTTGCGGACCAGCGGTGTCTGTGATGAAGGTTTTTGTTGTCGTCGCTGCTGCTGCTGCTGGGTTAGATGGCGTTGGATCACAATCCTGGCACATCGCCCGATGAAACCGGTCGCCGTTGTTTGTAATCACCGGCGAAACGTTACCGGTACTCGAATTGTAAATGCTGTTGTGGGTTCACTCTCCCCGACACACACAAGCGCTGTGTGTGCTGAAGTTGGAAACCAATTGGCACGTTTCGTTTACGTGACAAACCCTGACTGATTGGCCGTGTCAGGCGATGGTGGTGGGTGGTGGTGGGTTAACGACACAATGTTGATGTTTACGAGATCTCTAACTCAACAACAACAAAAACCAAACCTGTGTCACGGAAAAGTGTCACCACAGAGCAAGTCGCTCCGACCTCCTGGAGATACCGGTGTAACAGGCTACAATAACCCATTGCCCCGATTAAACCCGGGTATAGTTTGGCCCAGGCCAGAGTATACCCGGGGGGATGAAGTGTCCTAGGCTAAACTATACCCGGGGGTTTAAACTAGACTGGTCCAGACCATACCCCCTCCAGGGCAGAATATGCCCCATGTGAAAGTTCAAAGGCAATTATCCATACAGAGAACAGCCGACAACGAACTTCAATCGATATCTAAAAAGCGTATAAATGGAAGCATCTCAATTTGATCAATTGAAGCATTTTAGGGTTATTATTACAGTTTTTCTGGTTGAAGCAATCAAAGTCGATGTAAAATTTCGATTTAAAGCTTTCGTGACTGCAGGGATTCATCTTCTTGGTTCTTTCGGTAGAGTCACGTTGAAGGGAAATAATAAAACAATAAAATTCTCACGACGTTTCGATTGCAACACAAGCAATCATCATCAGGTGTGAAAACCACAGCAATATTTTTTTTGCTGTGGTTTTCATAACCTGATGATGATTGCTTGTGTTGCAATCGAAACGTCGTGTTAATTTTATTCTTACATTTTTATTATTTTATTATTTCCCTTCTACGTGACTTTACCGAAAGAACCAAGAATACAGTAGATTTTAGTTTTTCACTTCACTTTACTTTTCCAGGTAAGGCCCCCACAGAGCTGTGTAGTAGCGACCTGGCTATCACAAATGACAGCAGCGCACCGAAGTGGCTTATCACGTGACATTTACAGCAGCCAAATACTCTGAACGCATGTTGAGATTTTAACTACCTCTCCTGGTATACAGGAGATCGTGTGTTTGATTCCGACCCAGACGCCTGCTGTATATTTTGAGTTTGCGTGTATCTTTCTCTCCCCGTGGTCGTGTGGATTTTTCTCCAGGTCCTCCGGTTTTCCCCTCGACATTTAGAATCGAGATCACGCAATCAGAGTATTTGACCGCTATAAATGTCCACACAATGATACGCCACTTCGTTGAGCTTTCATTTGTGATGGCCAGGTGGTCGCGTCTGATAAAAGAGCTACTACGTATCCAGTTGGACCTTACTTGGTAGAATCCCAAGATAATGTTTGTTAGTTTAAGTATGTATATATATCATTTTAAACAGAATCACAAACTAACGCTCAACTTTCTTAAACGTGCAAGAGTCAACGCGCGCCACCACCGTGCGACATCACGCGAGCAACCGGGACGACGCAGAAAATCTCTCAACCCTTTCCCGCGTCCGAGACGTCTGCAGAGTTGCAGGGTCGATGGGTGTCACCGTTCACAGGGTGGGTGTCACCGTTCACGGGGTGGGTGTCACAAGGGTGGCACAGTCGGGTTTTTACAATCGGGTTTAATTGTCTTTTTATATTAAACCCGATCATCTAAGATTGAGAGAAATCCGGTTTCATTGGTTCTAATTGCAGAACCGCACTTCTCAACGATGGGCTTCATCCATTCCAAGCTAAGGAACTCAATGGCGCCCACGATTGTGGAGAAGCTCGTGTTCATTAAGACCAACCTGCCCGCCGCATTCTACGACTACCCCGTGCCCGACGGCCCCGAGTACCATAGCAGCACCGACGAGGAAGCAGCCTAAGCCTATCAGAGTTTCGTATTCATTAAACCAGGTTTTAATTCCCCGAAATCGGGTTTAATTGTGTTAAAGAAAAAACCCGATGCCTGCAGCTGGAAAAATCGGGTTTTTTCCACCCATGGGGTGTCACCGTTCACGGGGTGAGTGTCACCGTTCACGGGGTGGGGGTCACAGGTCACGGGGTGGCTGTCACCGTTCACCGCAGCAGTGGCAACAGCAGCACTGTTGCTGTTGTTGTTATAAAGACGTCGTTGCTCACCGCAGAGAAGCGTAGCGACACGACCGCCGCCACTCTGCGCTAGCCGGCGCCAAAACTGTGCCACACTCCCTGCCCCGCGTGGCCGTGGGAGCCTCGGTACCGATAAAGTTACTTTAGTTTTTACTGCGTTTTGTTGTTCCGACGACGACGTTCACGCACGGCACGCGGCGTCGTCGCAACAGCAAAGGGTGAAGTTCACGCTGGGAACATTTTCAACGGGGGAGGCAGCAACAACACGCAGGGTGATCCAAGTGCAGATGCCCCACTCATACCTACACCCCCCCTCCCAACGCCCTCTCGGAATATTTTTTCAGACCGCAGGAATCCGATGAGCTATGAAGCTCTTCTTCGCAGATCTCCAGCCGTTCCACAGATGTCCTCTCATAGCAACCCCCCCACCTCCACCCCGTAGCTTTCCTCTCAGCAGCAAAGTGAATAGCGCACAAGCGATGGCTCGGGGCTACGGTACTGAGTCAGAGGTCGCAAACGGGTTTTGATTCCTTACCCGTACCTGGCCGCACCAGCGTCGTAAACAGGTACCCGTACCCGGTATCGGGTACCTGATTGCGACCTCTGGGGTGAAGCCATGTTGCAGGCGCGGGTGGGTTGATTCTAGGAACTTGAATTGTGAGAAGAGACAAGACGTTGGGAAATGAGTGACAGTTACTCACCAGTGACCGTAGGGTACGGGTATCGGGTACCCGGTTGCGACCTCTGGACTGAGTGTTCGGAGATTTGTGAGCGGATGCCACCTTCGTCATCAGCCGCGGTTCAGTCTACCGCTGGATGGGTACGTACTGTAAGTACTGTACGTACGTCGCACGGGGCAGGGCTACGAGACGGCACGCGGTGCGCATGGAGACCGGCGGGAGACGTGCAGACTGGGGTGTCTGTAGGTGGATCGCCCTGCGGTGCCCCCCTCTAGGGTAACAACAGTGCAGCTCTGCACGGGGGACTCTGCACACTCACACACACGGGGACCCCCAGGTGATGGGGAGGGAAGTGCAGTGGTTGGGACCTAGAACTCCGCACTTGCAATCGAGGGGTGGCCGGGTCGGTTTAATCTCCCACCCCCCACAGAGTGTGAGTCAGGTGTAGGAGGATCCGTAGGTTTCCGTGTTCACATTCAAAATCAGTTTCAAGGGTGGCACAGCCTCGGCTAATCACGTGGCCTGTTGTTTAAAACTAATTCACAGCTCGGCGCAGTGCACGATTTGCTCAGGATGGCTGACTTTTCTGTTTCCACGGGAAGGAGAAAATGCATCCTGGCCGGTGTGTGTTCTCTGGTGCACGCGAAGATTTGATAGGTCTGCAAACGCCTTCTCACACACGGTGCACTTGAACGGCTTCTCTCCCGTGTGTGTTCTCTGGTGGCTGTGAAGATGTGATGAGTCTGCAAACGCCTTCTCACACACGGTGCACTTGAACGGCTTCTCTCCCGTGTGTGTTCTCTGGTGGCTGTGAAGATGTTGTAAATGTGCAAATGCCTTCTCACACACGGTGCACTTGAACGGCTTCTCTCCCGTGTGTGTTCTCTGGTGGCTGTGAAGATTTGGTAGTTGTGAAAACGCCTTCTCACACACGGTGCACTTGAACGGCTTCTCTCCCGTGTGTGTTCTCTGGTGGCTGTGAAGAGTTGGTAGTTGTGAAAACGCCTTCTCACACACGGTGCACTTGAACCGCTTCTCTCCCGTGTGTGTTCTCTGGTGCATCTTCAAGCTACACTTGTAGTCTGTGCTGAATGGACATTGGTCACACTGATGACTTTTGTTACTGGGCTTAGTGGGGTGTCTGCTCTGCACGTGATACTGTAGACTCGAGCGGCAGATGAACTGACGGTTGCAGGCAGGACACGGCAGCCTTGTCACCTCCACACCCACTCCACCTGCGTCATCCCAGACGCACAAGACACACGCGCACACACCAACACCGATACATGAACACTCTTGCACATGTGTGTGTGTACATACAAAGGTAAAGGTCCCCAACAGCCATATCAGACTGTTGGGCAAGTGCTGTTTGCGAGTACCTATGAAGGCCGGCATGGCACACGAGGGAGTAGGTGGCCAACACCAGGCCCGGCCGCCTTTGTCTCTCCAGTGGCGATGTTTCCACGTTTAAGCTAGGTACTCATTTGAGGCCGAGTCAGCCTAGGGGAGGCCTAAATATTCACCACTGACGTTGGCCGTGAGTGGGAATCGAACTCAGGTGGCCGGGTTCGTAGTGCAGTGGGCTCCATTATATATACACACAAAGACGAAGAACCCCCATATAGCCTGTATATACTTTTGGGACAAGTGCTGTTATCGGGCACCTACAGTGAGGGAAAAAGTGTTTGATCCCCTGCTGATTTTAAAAAAATGCAAATCAATTTATAACATTTTTGACATGCGTTTTTCTGGATTTTTTGTTGTTGTTATTCTTTCTCTCACGGTTCAAATAAACCTACCATTAAAATTATAGACTGGTCATTTCTTTGCCAGTGGGCAAACGTACAAAATCAGCAGGGGATCAAATCCTTTTTTCCCTCACTGTATGAAAGCCAGCATGGCACATGAGTGGGAGGGTGGCCAGCACCACACATGGCCGCCTTTGTCTCCCCAGTGGCGATGTTTACTACTACACACCACACCAGTTACTCATTTGCACCTTATCAGTGTGGGTGGTGCCTATCATCTCTGGTGAGTGGTGGCTATCATTTCTGGTGAGTGGTGGCTATCATCTGTTGTGAGTGGTGGCTATCATCTCTGGTGAGTGGTGGCTATCATCTCTGGTGAGTGGTGGCTATCATCTCTGGTGAGTGGTGGCTATCATCTCTGGTGAGTGGTGGCTATCATCTCTGGTGAGTGGATGCTATCATCTATGGGGAGTGGTGGCTATTATCTTTGGTGAGCAGTGGCTATCATCTCTGTTGAGTGGTGGCTATCATCTCTGGTGAGTGGTGGCTATCATCTCTGGTGAGTGGTGGCTATCATCTCTGGTGAGTGGATGCTATCATCTATGGGGAGCGGTGGCTAATATCTTTGGTGAGCAGTGGCTATCATCTCTGTTGAGTGGTGGCTATCATCTCTGGTGAGTGGTGGCTATCATCTCTGGTGAGTGGATGCTAGCATCTATGGGGAGTGGTGGCTATTATCTTTGGTGAGCAGTGGCTATCATCTCTGTTGAGTGGTGGCTATCATCTCTAGTGAGTGGTGGCTATCGTCTCTGGTGAGTGGTGGCTATCATCTCTGGTGAGTGGTGGCTATCATCTCTGGTGAGTGGTGGCTATCATCTCTGGTGAGTGGTGGCTGTCATCTCTGGTGAGCGGGTGCTATCATCTATGGGGAGTGGTGGCTATATCTTTGGTGAGCAGTGGCTATCATCTCTGTTGAGTGGTGGCTATCATCTCTGGTGAGTGGTGTCTATCATCTCTGGTGAGTGGATGCTATCATCTATGGGGAGTGGTGGCTATTATCTTTGGTGAGCAGTGGCTATCATCTCTGTTGAGTGGTGGCTATCGTCTCTGGTGAGCGGTGGTTATCATCTCTGGTGAGTGGTGGCTATCATCTCTAGTGAGTGGTGCCTATCATCTCTGGTGAGTGGTGGCTATCATCTCTAGTGAGTGGTGGCTATCGTCTCTGGTGAGCGGTGGTTATCATCTCTGGTGAGTGGTGGCTATCATCTCTAGTGAGTGGTGCCTATCATCTCTGGTGAGTGGTGGCTATCATCTCTGGTGAGTGGTGGCTATAGTCTGGTGAGCAGTGGCTATCATCTCTGGTGAGTGGTGGCTATCATCTCTGGTGAGTGGTGGCTATCATCTCTGGTGAGTGGTGGCTATCATCTCTGGTGAGTGGTGGCTATCATCTATGGGGAGTGGTGGCTATTATCTTTGGTGAGCAGTGGCTATCATCTCTGTTGAGTGGTGGCTATCATCTCTAGTGAGTGGTGGCTATCGTCTCTGGTGAGTGGTGGCTATCATCTCTGGTGAGTGGTGGCTATCATCTCTGGTGAGTGGTGGCTATCATCTCTGGTGAGTGGATGCTATCATCTATGGGGAGTGGTGGCTATTATCTTTGGTGAGCAGTGGCTATCATCTCTGTTGAGTGGTGGCTATCATCTCTGGTGAGTGGTGTCTATCATCTCTGGTGAGTGGATGCTATCATCTATGGGGAGTGGTGGCTATTATCTTTGGTGAGCAGTGGCTATCATCTCTGTTGAGTGGTGGCTATCGTCTCTGGTGAGCGGTGGTTATCATCTCTGGTGAGTGGTGGCTATCATCTCTAGTGAGTGGTGCCTATCATCTCTGGTGAGTGGTGGCTATCATCTCTAGTGAGTGGTGGCTATCGTCTCTGGTGAGCGGTGGTTATCATCTCTGGTGAGTGGTGGCTATCATCTCTAGTGAGTGGTGCCTATCATCTCTGGTGAGTGGTGGCTATCATCTCTGGTGAGTGGTGGCTATAGTCTGGTGAGCAGTGGCTATCATCTCTGGTGAGTGGTGGCTATCATCTCTGGTGAGTGGTGGCTATCATCTCTGGTGAGTGGTGGCTATCATCTCTGGTGAGTGGTGGCTATCATCTCTGGTGAGTGGTGGCTATCATCTCTGGTGAGTGGAGGCTATCATCGCTGGTGAGTGGTGGCTATCATCTCTGGTGAGTGGATGCTATCATCTATGGGGAGTGGTGGCTATTATCTTGGTGAGCAGTGGCTATCATCTCTGTTGAGTGGTGGCCTATCATCTCTGGTGAGTGGTGGCTATATCTCTGGTGAGTGGTGGCTATCATCTCTGGTGAGTGGTGGCTATCATCTCTGGTGAGTGGTGGCTATCATCTATGGGGAGTGGTGGCTATTATCTTTGGTGAGCAGTGGCTATCATCTCTGTTGAGTGGTGGCTATCATCTCTGGTGAGTGGTGGCTATCGTCTCTGGTGAGTGGTGGCTATCATCTCTGGTGAGTGGATGCTATCATCTATGGGGAGTGGTGGCTATTATCTTTGGTGAGCAGTGGCTATCATCTCTGTTGAGTGGTGGCTATCATCTCTGGTGAGTGGTGGCTATCATCTCTGGTGAGTGGATGCTATCATCTATTGGGAGTGGTGGCTATTATCTTTGGTGAGCAAGTGGCTATCATCTCTGTTGAGTGGTGGCTATCGTCTCTGGTGAGCGGTGGTTATCATCTCTGGTGAGTGGTGGCTATCATCTCTAGTGAGTGGTGCTATCATCTCTGGTGAGTGGTGGCTATCATCTCTGGTGAGTGGGGCTATCATCTCTGGTGAGTGGTGGCTATCATCTCTGGTGAGTGGTGGCTATCATCTCTGGTGAGTGGTGGCTATCATCTCTGGTGAGTGGTGGCTATAGTCTGGTGAGCAGTGGCTATCATCTCTGGTGAGTGGTGGCTATCATCTCTGGTGAGTGGTGGCTAATCTGGTGAGTGGTGGCTATCATCTCTGGTGAGTGGTGGCTATCATCCTGGTGAGTGGTGGCTATCATCTCTGGTGAGTGGTGGCTATCATCTCTGGTGAGTGGTGGCTATCATCTCTGGTGAGTGGTGGCTATCATTCTGGTGAGTGGTGGCTATCATCTGGCTATATCACTGGTGGTGGTGGCTATCATCTCTGGTGAGTGGTGGCTATCATCTCTGGTGAGTGGTGGCTATCATCCTGGTGAGTGGTGGCTATCCTCTCTGGTGAGTGGTGGCTATCATCTCTGGTGAGCGGTGGCTATCATCTCTGGTGAGTGGTGGCTATCATCACTGGTGAGTGGTGGCTATCATCTCTGGTGAGTGGTGGCTATCATCTCTGGTGAGTGGTGGCTATCATCTCTGGTGAGTTGGTGGCTATCATCTCTGGTGAGTGGTGGCTATCATATCTGTGAGTGGTGGCTGTCATCTCTGGTGAGTGGTGGCAATCATCTCTGGTGAGTGGTGGCTATCATCTCTGGTGTGTGGTGGCTATCATCTCTGGTGAGTGGGTGGCTATAATCTCTGGTGAGTGGTGGCTATCGTCTCTGGTGAGTGGTGGCTATCATCTCTGGTGAGTGGTGGCTATAATCTCTGGTGAGTGGTGGCTATCATCTCTGGTGAGTGGTGGCTATCATCTCTGGTGAGTGGTGGCTATAATCTCTGGTGAGTGGGTGGCTATCATCTCTGGGGAGTGTGGCTATCATCTCTGGTGAGTGGGTTGGCTATCAATCTCTGGTGAGTGGTGGCAATCATCTCTGGTGAGTGGTGGCTATAATCTCTGGTGTGTGGTGGCTATCATCTCTGGTGAGTGGTGGCTATAATCTGTGGTGAGTGGTGGCTATCGTCTCTGGTGAGTGGTGGCTATCATCTCTGGTGAGTGGTGGCTATAATCTCTGGTGAGTGGTGGCAATCATATCTGGTGAGTGGTGGCTATCATCTCTGGTGAGTGGTGGCTATAGTCTGGTGAGCAGTGGCGAGTCTCTGGTGAGCGGTGCTCACAGTGTTCCTCGCTTGGTGGAGGCTGCACGGGCTGCAGGTCTCTGGCGGTGGCCCTGGGAGCCATCTCGTTGCTGCTGCTCCTGCTGCGGCGTCGCGAGGGCCCGGCCTCGCAGGCGATGCCCAGCTCCTGGGCGAACTCCTCGCCGTACCAGACCAGCAGCTCAGAGCCGGGCCCACGGCACGGAACGTGCGGTAGTAAATCTGCCCCCGGTGCTGGAAGGCCACCAGGTTCTGCTCCTGCTCATTCCTCGCGCAGTTGACGAACCTGCGCGGGCAGACGCGGGGGCGGGGTGGGCGCCGTAGCGAGCGCCTATTAAGGGCCGGCACTGGGGCGGCTACGTGGGGGTGGGTGTGGCTGGGAACCACGCTCCGGACCGGGTGCTCATTTTTGATGCCGAGTCGACAACGGGGAGGCCCAGGGTCTCTGTGTGGTGGTGGTCTGGGTTTCTGTGTGTAGTGGTTTCTGGTCCTCTGTGTGTAGTGGTTTGGTCTCTGTGTGTGGTGGTCCTGGTACTCTGTGTGTAGTGGTTCTGGTCTCTTCTTGGTGTGGTGGTTCTGGTCTCTGTGTGTGGGGGTTCTGGTCTCCTGTGTGTGGATGGTTCTGGTCTCATGTGTGTGGTGGTCTGGTCTCTGTGTTGGTGGTCTGGTCTCTGTGTGTGGTGGTTCTGGTCTCTGAGTGTAGTGGGTTCTGGTCCTCTGTGTTGGTGGTTCTGGTCTCTGTGTGGTGGTGGTTCTGGTCTCTGTGTGTGGTGGTCTTGGTCTCTGTGTGTGGTGGTTCTGGTCTGTGTGTGTGTGTTTCTGTCCTCTGAGTGTAGTGGTTCTGGTCTCTGTGTGCAGTGGTTCTGGTTTCTGTGTGTAGTGGTTCTGGTCTCTGTGTGTGGTGGTTCTGGTCTCTGTGTGTGGTGGTTCTGGTCTCTGTGTGTAGTGGTTCTGGTCTCTGTGTGTGGTTGGTTCTGGTCTCTGTGTGTAGTGGTTCTGGTTTCCTGTGTGTAGTGGTTCTGGTCTCTGTGTGTGGTGGTTCTGGTCTCTGTGTGTGGTGGTTCTGGTATCTGTGTGCAATGGTTCTGGTTTCTGTGTGTAGTGGTTCTGGTCTCTGTGTGTGGTGGTTCTGGTCTCTGTGTGTGGTGGTTCTGGTCTCTGTGTGTGGTGGTTCTGGTCTCTGTGTGTAGTGGTTCTGGTTTCTGTGTGTAGTGGTTCTGGTCTCTGTGTGTGGTGGTTCTGGTCTCTGTGTGTGGTGGTTCTGGTCTCTGTGTGTGGTGGTTCTGGTATCTGTGTGCAATGGTTCTGGTTTCTGTGTGTAGTGGTTCTGGTCTCTGTGTGTGGTGGTTCTGGTCTCTGTGTGTGGTGGTTCTGGTCTCTGTGTGTAGTGGTTCTGGTCTCTGTGTGTGGTGTTTATGGTCTCTGTGTGTAGTGGTTCTGGTTTCTGTGTGTAGTGGGTTCTGGTCTCTGTGTGTGGTGGTTCTGGTCTCTTGTGTGGTGGTTCTGGTCGCTGTGTGTGGTGGTTCTGGTCTCTGTGTGCAGTGGTTTCTGGTTTCTGTGTGTAGTGGTTCTGGTCCTCTGTGTGTGGTGGTTCTGGTCTCTGTGTGTGGTGGTTCTGGTCTCTGTGTGTAGTGGTTCTGGTCTCTGTGTGTGGTGGTTCTGGTCTCTGGTGTGTAGTGGTTCTGGTTTTCTGTGTGTAGTGGTTCTGGTCTCTGTGTGTGGTGGTTCTGGTATCTGGTGTGCAATGGTTCTGGTTTCTGTGTGTAGTGGTTCTGGTCTCTGTGTGTGGTGGTTCTGGTCTCTGTGTGTGGTGGTTCTGGTCTCTGTGTGTAGTGGTTCTGGTCTCTGTGTGTAGTGGTTCTGGTTTCTGTGTGTAGTGGTTCTGGTCTCTGTGTGTGGTGGTTCTGGTCTCTGTGTGTGGTGGTTCTGGTCTCTGTGTGTGGTGGTTCTGGTCTCTGTGTGTGGTGGTTCTGGTCTCTGTGTGCAGTGGTTTCTGGTTTCTGTGTGTAGTGGTTCTGGTCTCTGTGTGTGCTGTTCTGGTGAGAGAGAGAGAGTGAGAAAGTGACAGTGTGAGAGAGAGTGTGAGAAAGTGACAGTGAGAGAGAGAGTGTGAGAAAGTGACAGTGAGAGAGAGAGTGTGAGAAAGTGACAGTGTGAGAGAGAGAGTGAGAAAGTGAGAGAGAGAGTGAGAGGGAGCAGGGGGTCTCACAGAAGAAGTCGTCGTCCTGGGGCTCCTCCACCTCTGTGTAGACTTTCCTCTCGCGCGGGGCGCAGGCCGTAGCGAGAGCGAGCGCTGCGCGACACCGCCACAGCCTGGGCGGAGGCCGGCGGCACGGAGGAGCCTGCAGGCAAACACGGCGAGATGTTGACTACCTCTCCTGGTATACGGGAGGTCGCAGATTCCATCCCGACCCTGACGAAGCCTGCTGTATATTTGGAGTCTGCGTGTCTCTCTCTCCTCTGTGGCGAGATGTTAACTCCCTCGCCTGGAATACAGGAGGTCGTGGGTGCGATCCCGACCCTGACGACCCACGCTGTATATTTGGAGTTTGCATGTTGTACCTCCCCGTGGTTGCGTGGATTTTTCTCCGGGTCCTCCGGTTTTTCCCCTCGACATTTAGAATCAACGTCACGTGTTGAGAGTATTTGGCTGCTGTAAATGTCCACGTAATGATGATGATGACAAGTCACTTCGTTGAGCTCTCATTTGTGATAGCCAGGTCGCTTCTGAAAAACATCTACACAGCTCAGTGCGGCTTACCCTGGTAAAAGAAACATCGCTTAGTTTATAGGCTGCATCAGTACCAGCAGCAGCACTGACAGGAGCACATGTAGCAGTAGCATCAACAGCAGTGGCGACTTCCATCAGCAGCCACAGAAGAGTGCGGAGTTCCGGTGAGGATAGAGGGGAGTGTGGAGTTCTGGTGAGAATAGAGGGGAGTGTGGAGTTCTGGTGGGAATAGCAGGGAGTGTGACGTTCCAGTGAGAATAGAGGGGAGTGTGGAGTTCTGGTGAGAATAGAGGGGAGTGTGGAGTTCCGGTGAGAATAGATGGGAGTGTGGAGTTCCGGTGGGAATAGAGGGGAGTGTGGAGTTCTGGTGTGAATAGAAATCACCGCTGCAGGCTACGCACCTCCACGTATCCTCTGGAGCGCCACCCTCAGGGCCTCCTTGCAGGCGGTGGCTCTGCGCTCCAGCCTGAACATCGCCATCCTGGCCTTGTGCACCTCCCTCAGCTCAAATCCCCTGAACTCCTCCTCCTGCTGCTGCTCCTCCTCCTCCACGCCCTGCAAGATGCTCCACACGTACTCCAGGGCTTCCGCTTTAGTCTGAGCGGAGGGGGCGGTGGGGTGAGGGGGCGGAGGGGGTGTGGGGGGCGGAGTTGGTGCGGTGACCAGCGGTGGCTAGGAGATGTTAACTCCCTCGCCTGGTACGCAGGAGGTCGCGGGTTCGATCTCGACCCTGACACCTCATCGGATTCCTCCAGTACAATACATATTCTAATTCTGATATTCTGATTCTGTAAATCTGATTCCATACATCAAGCAGAACCATGCCGTCATGCTGAACCTCGGTGGGTATGGCAGGCCAAGCCTCTTCACAACTAAACTAATGAATAAACTAATTATAATAATAAGCCCAGACGTTGTACCAGAGTGCCATGCAGAGGGGGCATGGTAGCTAGGAGATGTTAACTACCTCGCCTGGTACGCAGGAGGTCATGTGTTCGATCCTGACCCTGATGTGGTGGTCGCTGCGTGGATTTTTCTCTGGGTCCTTCGGTTTTTCCCGTCACATTGAGAATCCGGATCGCTCGTTTTAGAGTATTTGACTCCCGCTAGAAATATCCACGTGATGATGATATCAGCCGCTTCGTTGAGCTATGAGTTGTGATAGCCGGGTACCGCTTGTGAAAAAAAGAGCGACTCTGTAGCTCAGTGAACCGTGACTCTGAGCTCCGTAACCTCCGAGTCTGCGATGGGACATCGACGTCTGCCCGTCTCGTGGAGTCTGCGCGCGTTGCAAACCCAGTGGTCATTGTCACCGTGGTCACGGTGTCTACGCTTGTCTACGCCCTTCTCAGGTTCTGTTCTATCACCTCGGATCCTAGAGAGGAGTGGCGAACATCTCGTGTGTACGTGTTGTGTGTGTGTACGTTAGGTGTTTAGTGTATAGTAATGTAGTGTATATTAGTGTATAGTGTAGTGTATAGTAGTGTATCATGGTGTAGTGTGTCGTGTAGTATTTAGTCATGAATAGTGTAGTGTATAGTAGTGTATCATGGCGTACGTCTCGTCTGTACGTGAGGCAGCGATAAGCGCGTGCCTGTTCCTATTTCTCTGTAATGATTGGAATTATACAGAAATTACATTTATAACACGGATCAGTGGAACATTTCTTTTTACTTTTCGTAACAGCTATTTTCATTGGAGTATATGACAGGCGAGACTCTGCCTCGCCTGCCTCCCCTGACCGCACGTCCCTGATATAGCAGTGTTTAGTAGTATGTATGTACGTTGAATTTATTTGGCACCGTACGTAGCCATCCTCGTTAATGGGAGGTGAGGGGGAAGGACAACAAACTAAAGACAACAACAGCAGCAGCAGCTGTAACGAGAGGAGTGCCGTGCGCTGTGCACAGAGACCTTGCGCTTGCTGGGAGCTGCCCTCGCGTGCCACTCTCCCACGGTGGCCCAGCGTGAAGCAGCCCCCTTGCCTCCTCCTGCGTGAACACACGCACACACGTAAACACACACACACACGTGAACACACTCACGCACGTGAACACACTCGCGCACGTGAACACACGCACAAACACGTGAACACACACACGTGAACACGCGCACGCACGTGAACACACGCAACAACAACAGCCATTCGCCACTAATTGGCGGTGACATCACCACGACGTTTGTGCCAGGCCATGTGCACCTTGAGGCCACGTGAAGTGTAGAACGCCCGCTGGCAGGAGGTCACGGGGCAGACCTAGGCGCCACGGGTCGATTGACTAAGATGACCGAGATGAATGGCTGATGCACCACCTGTGCCCCCTACTGTGCAACTTGCTGTGCTTTTGCCACCCGGCGCTCCGCTCATTGTTGTGAGCGTCGCTCCTCCGCCCTCCGTTGTTGTTGGAGGGCGTCCTTCACGAGCCTCCTCCACAGAGCCCGATCTTGACACCGCTGGTACCAGTCCTTGGCAAGTCCACTCAGCTCCATGTCCTCCTGTACCACATCACTCCATCTCTTCTCTAGCCCGTGTCACGCCTGTTTAGCCCCCTCGATCCGGCCGAACAAAAGCTGTTTAGGCATGCAGTGGCTGGGCATGCGGGCTACATGACCCAGCCAATGCAGCCTTGCCTGCCGGAGGAGCTCACCGATGGGACTTTGCCCAGATCTTTCAAGGATTTGTGAGCTCCTCACACAATCCAGCCTGGTAAAACCCAGGATGGATCGTAGGCAGGCCAGCCTAAATGTTTCTAACCAGCGAAGATGCTCCATTAGGGGGGTCCACGTTTTGCAAGCGTAGAGAAGGAAGGGAATGACTGTGGCCGAGAAAACCTGAAGCTTCGTGCGGAGTGACAGACCAGGTAGCTTCCACACAGCGTTACGCAACCGATGAAAATATATTGCCGCTTGACTGATTCGGAGTGAGACCTCTGCTGTTAAACTGGAGCCGGTCATAAGCACACTGCCCAGGTATGGGAAACTCTCCACTCTCTCCACAACTGCCCCATCACTGATTGGGAGTGAGTTGTATGGGTGGAGTGTCCAATGGTACAAAATACCCAGGCAGGTGCTTAGTTTTTGGTGGGGCTGATGGTAAGGCCCCACCTCCTAGTGGCATTCTCCAGTCTCAGCAGCAGCGTCTCCAACTCCTCCTCTGAATGAGCAGCTATTACTACATCATCGGCATACATAACGTGGTTGACCAATAGGGAGCCATCCCTTGATCGCACCCAGGCATCGATCAGCCTCCCATTATATCTACCAAATGGAAATTCCCTCGGTACAGCTATTGAAGGCTTCACGAACTACGTGGTCAAAATTGATGTTAAATAATGTGGGAGCCAGAGGACATCCCTGTCACACCCCAAGGTGTACAGGGAATGGCTCCGACTCCCGGCTACGTAGTTTTACCCGGGCCCGCTCACCATCATTAAGGTCCTTAATGATCGTGAGCAGAGGGTCAGGGACTCCGAAAGCACGAAGAACAACCCAGAGCCCAGGCCTACTGATGGTGTCATAGGCCTTGACCAGGTCAATAAAGCAGAGATGTAGGTCTTGTTGGAATTCCCTACACCTCTGCTGTAGCAGACGGACAGAAAATATGGCATCTGTGCAGGACCGCCCTTTCCTGAAACCGCATTGGGGATCCGCAAGCCTCTCCTCAGCGTGCCTAGCAAGGCGATGTTGAATAATCCTTGCCAGCACCTTTCCCGGCACACTGAGGAGTGAGATGCCCTTGTAGTTGTTACAGTCTGTACGGTCCCCCTTCTTAAAGAGGGGGACCACCAGGGCATCCTTCCAATTCTGCGGTACCCGTCCAGTGGTCCAGACTGTTGTTATGATGTCATATAGGGCAGTCTGTGCACAAACGCCACCCTCCCTCATCATTTCGCTTGGGAGATCATCTCTGCCCGGTGCCTTTCCTGGTCTCAGACTCCGGATCGCCTTCAGTACTTCCTCAACAGATGGCATCTCAGCCAGCCACTCACAGAGGGTGACTTCTTCCAATATTTGAGGCACCACAGCCTCAGCAGGGTCATCCCCACTTTGTGCCATGATGTTTTCCTGGCTGAGGGATTTCCCCTCCCCCAGGACCTCACAGAAATGCTCAGCAAATCTGCAAACCTGTTCCTGGGGGTCGGAGATTGGATCACCGTTTTTTCCCCTAATGATGGTAATCGGTGTGGCGCTGGAGGTTACTTTTTTGATGGAGTTAAATAGTGATTTGTGATCGTGGGCCACTGAGGCAGACTCCATCTCCTCAGCAACCCGTGACCACCACCCATCCTTGCAGCGCCTTACGGCTCTTCAACCCTCCGAGCGAAGGTTGCGGTAAGCCTCCTCATTGTCTGACGTGGGATGCTGGAGCCGATGAGAGTGGGCCTGTCACTTTTTTCTCAACTATCCTGAACACCTCCTCTGTCAGCCAGGGTCTCTGGGGAGTTCTGGAACGCGTACCCAAAGCAGCCATTGCAGCTGCATGAGTCACAGTCCTAAACCTCGCCCATTTACCCTCGACATCAGGAAGACTGGGGGATGATGCCACAACCCCAGCCGCAAGCGATGATGAAATTCTCACTTGCAACTTTCATCAGCTAACTAAAACCAGGCCACTTTAGGTTGGAATGGGGTCCTGGGTGTACACCCACCACCAGAGTGGAAGAATGGCAGGCGCATCTTACAGATGACTAGTCGATGGTCAGAGGGCAGATCAGCTCCACGGTACAGTAGGTCCTGGTGTCAAAGACATGGGTTCGCATCCGCTGGTCCATCACTATGTAGTCCAGCAGATGTTCTTGCTTGGACCCGGCATGCATCCATGATGTTGTGTGGATGCGCCGATGTCGGAAGAGCGTGTTGGTAATTACAAGCCCATGGGCTGCACAAAAATCTAGCAGCCTCCTACCGTTGTTATTGAACTGATCTGGCCCATGCCCTCCAATCACTCCAGACCAGGTGCCAGTATCATGACCAACTCGGGCATTGAAGTCACCCAACAAGATGACTCTATCCCGAGTGGCCACTTTAGCCAGTACCTGTGACAGGAGGTCATAGAAGGCATCTGAATCATCGGCTTTGCCTGCATCCCTCCACGGATGTTCGTCTTCGGTGGGGGCATAAGTAACCACGACCACCACTCCTCGCCTCCTGTTGATGGGAAGGCGAGCCCAAAGTAGCCTGGGCCTTACAGCTTCCCACACCTCATCGCCACGCTCCCAAGCCCCCTTCATTCTTTTGTTCATAAGAAGAACACACGCACACACGTGAACACCCGCAAACACACGCACGCACGTGTCCATGTGTGTGAACACATGGATACCCGTGAACACACGCACACACGTGTGAACACGCGGACACGCATGAACATATGCAAAGACAAATATCCCCCGTATAGCCTTAGCAGACTGTAGGGGCAAGTGCTGTTAGTGAGCCAGAACGGTACACGAGGGGGTCGGTGGCCAGCACCACGCCCGACCGCCTTTGTCTCCCCAGTGGCGATGTTTACACACTGTACCAGGTACTAATTTGAAGGTGAGTTGACCTAGGGGAGGCCCAGGACCAGTTTAGATAATCGTCACTGGTGTTGACCGTGAGCAGAAATCGAACCCGGGTCGCCAGGTTCATAGCGCAGACTGCTAACCAGTTTAACATGTAGGATTTCGCGACCAATATTATTAATTTTTTGGGTTATATCGCGTAAATATGAATGTGTCGTTAAACCCGTCACCACCCGACGCAGCCAATCCGTAAGGTTTGTCAGGTAAACAAAACGTGCCAATTAGTTACTAGTTCAGCACTAACCGGTTGTGTGTTGGACAGTAAACCCACAAAATTCACAATTCGAGAATGGTACTGTGATGTTCCACTGGTGATTACAACCAGCTTCATCAAGCGAGTCTACAGGGGATCTCTGTGTGAGTCTACAGGGGGTCTCTGTGTGAGTCTACAGGGGGTCTCTGTGTGAGTCTACAGGGGGTCTCTGCACGGTCTGCAAGCGCCCTTTTACGTTTGCCTCTTCGTCCTCCGTGCATCGCCACCTCCTTCCTCTTCCTCCTCCCCGTCCACTCCTCGTCGGAGTCGCTCGACCGCCCGCACTCCGCTCCATTCCCCCTCGCCCTGCGCTTGCCGCGTGCGCGCATGAACTCGGGCTGGGCCGGGTTCATCCCTGCGCAAGGAGGCAGTCGGTCATTGTTATTTGTACGTATTGGCAGTACACCCGTGCAGCATAGCAACACACCGGGTCCTCGTAACACAGTCCTGACGATGTGATTACTATCAGAGCGTGTTTGTGTGATGCCGCCGCCACGAAGCCGTTCGACAGGCGCCCAAATCCCCGACCTCGCCACCACCAAGCAACGGAGCCAACCCCGCTTCCCCCTCACCTCACCTCACATGAACACACCCGCACGCATTTTCCCCCACCCATAAGCTGGAAGGGGAGGTTACCTGGCCGACCGGTTTTTATCCGAGAAACTCTTATCGGGGTTAACTCTCACGGTTTCCGGCGATCAGGGAATTGGACGACCTCCCCCGTGCTACGTTGCGCCGCGGCGCTGCGACCAGCCTTAATATGGTGTGGTCGCGGCGTGGGGCATTCGGCCACCGCGGTGGAGGCGCATTTTCCCCCCACACACGCCAGTATCGACGGGGCAGGCAGAGGGAATAAGCATTGTAATGGAGGAGCATCATTAGAAAACACGCAGCGCATCTGAACTGCATAATCAGGCACCCCCGCACCGGCAGCGGAGGGACGGCATAATTACGCTTGAGCGCGCAGGGTAAGGGAGTAATTAGGATGTACGCCGCCAACGCAGCTCACTGATTAGCAGATCAAAAGCGCCCGGAACCGCCGTGCGCGGGCTTGGGGTGCACGAGCCCATTGTTCAGCGCAGCATCCCTGTGAGGTAGGGAGGATAAATACGGGGGCGCAAAGGGGAAATCGCTCTCTCTCTCCAGCGCCAGGCAACAGGACGCTCTCCAGTCCAGCGACCCGAACGTCCGTGAGACGCATCGAGGCACGCTGCGAGTACGTGATCAACGAACCGCCGTGGGCATCCAACAGAGAGTAAGAAGGTGAATTGGAATCATAGCAGATAAATCGGGAATAGGTATAAAGGTATCAGCGTAGGCCAGCCTCGTCGACTCACTGATTTAACATTAAATTGCCAGGTATCAGATAATAAATCATTAATAGCGAAGCGTGGTCTCGCGTGATCTGGTCGAGCAGTGTGAGCATGTGGGTGCGCTGTGTGCACGGTGATTCGCCACGTGAGTGAGCGCTGCGCGGAGCTGAGCGCGCGGGGAGCGTGTGTGCGCGGTGATTCTGTAGTGCTGCGGCTCGCCTCGGGGGAGCGCTGCGCAGAGCGGTGCGAGAGTGGGTGTCGCGTGTGTTCACTCCGCGTGTGATACAGGTGCACGATCATAACGCGAGTAGTCAGTGTGGAGTTGGAGTGCACGGAGCGGTGTGTGTGTGTGTGCGTACGTTCGCTCCGTGTGGGTCGCAGGTACGCGATTAGGAAAGGGAGGTATCGTGGTAGCGTAAAGGGGGACATAAAACTACGCGGTATCCAACCATGCCTACTACGCGGACCCGCGGTGGAGGGGAATCCTCGGGCGACGGCTCCCACACCATGGGTGAGGAACCTAGCAGCGGTTCGCTTAGCAGCGGGGGGGGCGATTGATGATGTTAGCCCGGCGGTTAGCATTATCGAGGGAGGGATCTCGGGGGCTAGCGACCTCAACATTTGTTTGCGTGTTCAACACAAGTACGCATGGTTAATGCAGTAACTTGATTCCTTGCAAAAAGGAATCATCTATTTGGTGTGTGAACATCTTAACAGCTCCTGTTTTATTGCCAGAAAGGGTAAAACCGATTCCTATTTTTTATACTTTGATTCTGGCAAAAAGGTCCAATGATATAGCTACTCACCCCGAGCTATAAATGATCTTGGCACTGCATTGTCTTTGTACTGGTCGCCTTTTGGTGTTGTTCTCTGGTCTGACACTGGTGAGACTAGGCCATGAAGAAGACTGTCTCTGGGGTAGACCAATCAGTATCAAAGACAATGATTAAATGTTATCAGAGAGTGTTTGTTTGCATGTTCAGTACGCGTGGTTAATGCAGTAACCTGATTCCTTGCAAAAGCTATAATCTATCTGGTGTTTGAACATCTTAACACCTCCTGTTTCATTCCCATAAAGAGTAAAACCGATTCTTATTTTTCATAGTCCCGATGATGTCGCCGTTGCCCCTTGAGTGAGCTGCAGGACTCTCCATCAGAAGTTGCACTCAGATTCAGCAGCCGCGTCCCCCATTCCGAACGTGCGGTGGCGACACCACGAGTCGTATCGAGGCACCGTCCGACCGAGTCTCTAGGGGCACGAGGAGTCCAATCTTGCCACTGGAGCACGGAGCAGCCGATCGTCATCAGACTGGGCGCCGCTGTACGGCAACAGACTGCGAAGCTTCGTGTTCAGTGCTGCTCATGTCACGTTCCGTCTTCCCACCGCTTTGGCATCACGACAACTGATTTTGACGCACCACCACCACCCCAAAATATCCTTGTCTGGGGTCTCGAATCACGAGGAAATAAATAACTTTTGCCAAAAATGTGATGATTATTTCATACAGCGCAACGGTGTACCGCTACTACGTTCATTTATATTATTTGGCTGCTACAATAACCCCAAGCAATACAGTAAACACGATAGGAGTGCAAAGTATAGAAAAGGTAAACAAATTACACACACACAAAATACATTTTTTTGTAAATATTCTTTGGTTCTTTCGGCAAAGTCACGTAGATAGAAAAATAAAGTGAATAAAAATAATCAAAAACCACAAAAACGTTCATCCTCACTGATGTTGCTGACTGGTATCTTAGCGCTTTTGAGGGTTGCAGCAATTTCAGATCTTGTAACGTCTGCAGCGATGCGCCCCAAACCCTTAAGAGCGACATCGACCTGGGCAATAACGTCATCCACTGGAATGTGTTTGGGGGTGACTGAGAAGTTCAACCCTTTAGCCAAAACCGACTTTAGACCATCGCACATTGGGCTATTACTCAGATTAATAACAACCTTGTCAACGTCTAACCTTTTAACGTGTGGATCTGGTTTCTTGTTAGAAAGGAGGTTGAACTCGAAAATCAGATCTTTACATTTCGCTGACATTGTAGTGGCTGATTAAGCGGTCATGTTATCTACATGTTCCCAATCAGATGTCGACATTTTTCCCGTCAATGTTAAGTGTGATTTCAAGAGTGTCTTGTCTACATGATCTAGTTCAGTATGGAGCAGTCTAATTCTCTCTGAGATCAGGGCCAAGCTCGCCCTGAACAAAATTCGTCTGGCATTGGAAGATGTGACTGCAGCAGAAATCAGTGTCAATGAGATCGGTATTACGTTAGAGTCACGGCATCTCTTCAGAAATGTGAGTGACTCGATCAGATGAACTTTCTTGTCACGGAGATTGTTAAAAGATCTCATGGTTATGTGGAAACCCTCCCAATAGAGGCAGTTCAAATGATACAAATTAAGTGAATAAAAAATTATAAAAATAAGACACTAATTAGACTGCTCCATAAAAAAACACTAATGTATACATTTCAATTTAAAGCTTTCGTGACTGCAGGGATTCATCTTCTTGGTTCTTTCGGTAAAGTCACGTAGAAGGGAAATAATAAAATATTAAAAAGAAAACATTAAAATTGTATTTTAATAATTGTATTTTATGTTTTTTTTCCCTTCTATGTGACTTTACCGAAAGAACCAAGAAGACTAATTTATAACTCTAAAGTTTTGATTATACATGAGTGCTTTATCATTTTTACTATTCACTTTATTTTTATTTTAGTTTTTCTATCTACGTCACTTTATCGAAAGAACCAAAGAATATGAATTCCTGCAGTCACGAAAGTTTTAAGTCAAAATAAACTATTTTTGTAAATGTTGTGGGTTTACTCTCCAACATTATGAATCCGTAGGTAAAAAATACAATTTAAATTAATAAAAGTACTTTTATAAATTTTAATTTTACTTTGATTAATTTTAATTTTATTTTTTACCTACGTGACTAGAATTATGAATCCGATGAGCTATGAAGCTCTTTTTCATAGATGTCCCATAGGGGGCACGGGGTCAGAAAGTTACAACACAAAACACAAACACGATAGGCGTGCAAAGTAGAGTAAAGGTAAACAAATCATTAAACTAAAACTAAATCTATTTTTACTTCACCAGGTGAAGTCCACTGAGCTATTGGCTCCTTCTTCAGAAGCGACCTGGCTGCCACAAATGACAGCTCAACCAAGTGGCTTACCACGTGGACATTTATAGCAGCAGACAAATACTCTAAACGCGTGATGTTGATGCTACAAGTGGAGCAAAAACCCGGAGGACCGGGATCTAACCCACGACCTCCTGTAGACCATGAGAGGTAGTTAACATCTCACCGGGGAGAGACACACGCAGACTCCAGATATATGACAGGCATCGTCAGGGTCGCCATCGAACCCACGACCTCCTGTAGACCAGGCGAGGTAGTTAACATCTCACCGGGAAGAGACACACGCAGACTCCAGATATATGACAGGCATCGTCAGGGTCGCCATCGAACCCACGACCTCCTCTAGACCAGGCGAGGGAGTTAACATCTCACCGGGAAGAGACACACGCAGACTCCAGATATATGACAGGCATCGTCAGGGTCGGGATCGAACCCACGACCTCATGTAGACCAGGCGAGTTAGTTAACATCTCGCCACCATGGCGCCCCATGCATGCCACTCTGCTACGACGTCTTGGTCTCATCATTATAATCACTGCGACAATTAGTTTAGTTGCGAAGAGGCTCGGCCTGCCGTACCCACCGAGGTTCAGCAGGACGGCGTGGTTCTGCTTGATGTTCCTGTAGCGCCGCTTCTCGCACTCGGCCAGATCGCTCCACTCGGCCTTGGTGAAGAAGCCTCTGATGTCTCGGAAGTCGCCCATCTCCTGCTGCTGCTGCTGCTGAGGCGCAGAGACACGGAGGGACGAGACGCGGACGACGGTCAGACGCAGTCACGGAGATGGAGTCACACGGATAACTTTATCTCAGGTAGAGGTAACTTTACCTCAGGGGAGGTAACTTTACTTCAGGTGAAATAACTTTACTTCAGGGGAGGAAACTTTACCTCAGGTGAAATAACCTTACCTCAGAGAGAGGTAAATTTACCTCAGATGAGATAACTTTACCTCAGGTGAGGTAAATTTACCTCAGATGAGATAACTTTACCTCAGGTGAGGTAAATTTACCTCAGATAGAAGTAACTTTACTTCACCTGAGGTAACTTTACCTCAGATGAGGTAAAGTTACCTCTACCTGCTGCTGCTGAGGCGCAGAGACACGGAGGGACGAGACGCGGACGACGGTCAGACGCAGTCACGGAGATGGAGTCACACGGAGACAGAGTCACAGGGAGACAGAGTCACACTGAGACAGAGTCACACGGAGACAGAGTCACAGGGAGACAGAGTCACACGGAGACAGAGTCACACGGAGACAGAGTCACAGGGAGACAGAGTCACACGGAGACAGAGTCACAGGGAGACAGAGTCACACTGAGACAGAGTCACAGGGAGACAGAGTCACACTGAGACAGAGTCACACGGAGACAGAGTCCAGGGAGACAGAGTCACCGGAGACAGAGTCACAGGAGACAGAGTCACACTGAGACAGAGTCACACGGAGACAGAGTCACAGGGAGACAGAGTCACACGGAGACAGAGTCACAGGGAGACAGAGTCACAGGGAGACAGAGTCACAGGGAGACAGAGTCACACTGAGACAGAGTCACAGGGAGACAGAGTCACATGGAGACAGAGTCACAGGGAGACAGAGTCACAGGGAGACAGAGTCACAGGGAGACAGAGTCACACGGAGACAGAGTCACAGGGAGACAGAGTCACACGGAGACAGAGTCACACGGAGACAGAGTCACAGGGAGACAGAGTCACACGGAGACAGAGTCACAGGGAGACAGAGTCACAGGGAGACAGAGTCACAGGGAGACAGAGTCACACTGAGACAGAGTCACAGGGAGACAGAGTCACATGGAGACAGAGTCACAGGGAGACAGAGTCCACAGGGAGACAGAGTCACAGGGAGACAGAGTCACACGGGAGACAGAGTCACAGGGAGACAGAGTCACACGGAGACAGAGTCACAGGGAGATAGGACAGAAGTCACAGGGAGACCAGAGTCACACGGAGACAGAGTCACAGGGGACAGAGTTCACACGGAAGACAGAGTCACAGGGCAGAACAGAGTCACACGGAGACGAGTCCACGGAGTACATAGTCCGGGAGACAGTAGTCACAGGGAGACAAGAGTCATCCACAGGGAGACTAGAGTCCTACAGGGAGCCAGAGTCCACACGGAGACAGAGCTCCACATGGAGACAGAGTCCACAGGGAGACAGAGTCACCGTGAGACAGAGTCACCAGGGAGACAGAGTCACAGGGAGGACATGAGTCAACAGGGAGACACGAGTCACACGGAGACAGAGTCACACGGAGGACAGAGTCCACTGAGACAGAGTCACACGAGCTACAGGTAGTCCACAGGAGACAGAGTCACACGGAGACAGAGTCACACGGAGACAGAGTCACACGGAGACAGAGTCACACGGGAGACAGAGTCACACGGAGACAGAGTCACACGGAGACGAGTCACAGGGAGACAGAGTCACAGGGAGACAGAGTCACACGGAGACAGAGTCACACTGAGACAGAGTCACAGGGAGACAGAGTCACAGGGAGACAGAGTCCACACGGAGACAGAGTCACAGGGAGACAGAGTCACAGGGAGACAGAGTCACACGGAGACAGAGTCACAGGGAGACAGAGTCACAGGGAGACAGAGTCACAGGGAGACAGAGTCACAGGGATACGAGACTAAGATCCCCCGTGTGGCCTTAACAGACTGTCGGGTCAAGCGCTGTGAGCGAGTAGCGGCGCCTATGAAGGCCGGAACGACACCGAGGGGGGGGTGGGTGGCCAGCACCACGCCCGGCCGCCTTTGTCCCCCAGTGGCGATGTTCACTACACACCGCTACACCAGGAACTCATTTGAGGCCGAGTCGACCTAGGGGATGAGGCCCAGGACCGGTTCAGAAAATCGTCACCGGTGAGGTAACTTTACCTCAGATGAGGTAACTTCACTTCATGCGAGGTAACATTACATTAGGTGAAGTAAAATTACTTCAGGTGAGGTAACTTTTCCTTTACCTCATGCGAGGTAAGTTACCTCGCGGGGGGTAACATTACCTCGGGTAAATGTAGCATTACTTAATGTTATCCTAACGTATTCACATCACTTCAGCTAATGACCCTATCGTATATTCTCACGTAGTTAAATCGTTAAACACAATTATCGCGTGATTATTACCTCAGGGTAAGGTAATCGAAATGCAATGGAAGGCGAGGTAACTTTACCTCAGGCAAGGTAACATCACCTCAGGTAAATGTAACATTACTTGAGGTAATCCGAACGTATTCACATCACTTGAGCTAATGCTCATATTTTACGCTAATATCGTAATATCGTCACGTGGTTAAATCGTTAAACACAACGCTCGCGTGACGTCACCACCTCAGTGTCGAGCCGTCGACACTTCACGCGGCAGCCTCGAAGTGCACCCAGCCTGGCACAGGCGCCGTGGTGACGTCACCGTCACTCAGTGGCCAATGGCGGCGGTTGGTGGTGGGGGGGGGGAGTGGGGGTGGGGGGGGAGTGGGGGGTGGGAGGGAGGAGGGGGTGGGGGATGGGGGGAGTGGGGGGAGTGGGGGAGTGATGGGGGGGGGGGAGTGGGGGTGGGGGGAGTGTGGGGGGAGTGGGGGGTGGGGGGGAGTGGCGGGAGAGTGGTGGGGGAGTGGTGAGGGAGTGATGGGGTGGGGGAGTGGGGAGTGGGGGGGGTTATACTGGTAGGAACGAAGTGGACCAGACCACCAATAGATTAATGTGTCCGTCCGTCCGTCCGTCCGTCCGTGGGAGGGTTTGGCATTTCTGTGATTGGGGGGGTTATTGATCACGAGCGAGTGATGGGGGGTTGATCACGAGTGAGTGATTGGGGGGGGTTTGATCACGAGGGAGTGATTGGGGGGGTTATTGATCACGAGCGAGTGATTGGGGGGGTTATTGATCACGAGCGAGTGATTGGGGGGTTATTGATCACGAGCGAGTGATTGGGGGGTATATGATCACGAGGAGTGATTGGGGGGGTTATTGATCACGAGCGAGTGATTGGGGGGGTTATTGATCACGAGCGAGTGATTGGGGGGTTATTGATCACGAGCGAGTGATTGGGGGGTTATTGATCACGAGCGAGTGATTGGGGGGGTTATTGATCACGAGCGAGTGATTGGGGGGTTATTGATCACGAGAGTGATTGGGGGGTTATTGATCACGAGCGAGTGATTGGGGGGGTTATTGATCACGAGCGAGTGATTGGGGGGGTTATTGATCACGAGCGAGTGATTGGGGGGTTATTGATCACGAGCGAGTGATTGGGGGGGTTATTGATCACGAGCGAGTGATTGGGGGGGTTATTGATCACGACGAGCGAGTGATTGGGGGGTTATTGATCACGAGCGAGTGATTGGGGGGGTTATTGATCACGAGCGAGTGATTGGGGGGGTTATTGATCACGAGGAGTGATTGGGGGGTTATTGATCACGAGCGAGTGATTGGGGGGTTATTGATCACGAGCGAGTGATTGGGGGGTTATTGATCACGAGCGAGTGATTGGGGGGGGTTATTGATCACGAGCGAGTGATTGGGGGGGTTATTGATCACGAGCGAGTGATTGGGGGGGTATTGATCACGAGCGAGTGATTGGGGGGGTTATTGATCACGAGCAGTGATTGGGGGGTTATTGATCACGAGAGTGATTGGGGGGTTATTGATCACGAGCGAGTGATTGGGGGGTTATTGATCACGAGCGAGTGATTGGGGGGGTTATTGATCACGAGCGAGTGATTGGGGGGGTTATTGATCACGAGCGAGTGATTGGGGGGTTATTGATCACGAGCAGTGATTGGGGGGTTATTGATCACGAGCGAGTGATTGGGGGGGTTATTGATCACGAGCGAGTGATTGGGGGGGTTATTGATCACGAGGAGTGATTGGGGGGTTATTGATCACGAGCGAGTGATTGGGGGGGTTATTGATCACGAGCGAGTGATTGGGGGGGTTATTGATCACGAGCGAGTGATTGGGGGGGTTATTGATCACGAGGAGTGATTGGGGGGTTATTGATCACGAGCGAGTGATTGGGGGGTTATTGATCACGAGGAGTGATTGGGGGGGTTATTGATCACGAGCGAGTGATTGGGGGGGTTATTGATCACGAGCGAGTGATTGGGGGGTTATTGATCACGAGTGATTGGGGGGTTATCGATCACGAGTGATTGGGGGGGTTATTGATCACGAGTGATTGGGGGGTTATTGATCAAGCGAGTGATTGGGGGGGTTATGATCACGAGCGAGTGATTGGGGGGTTATTGATCACGAGCGAGTGATTGGGGGGTTATTGATCACGAGCGAGTGATTGGGGGGGTTATTGATCACGAGCGAGTGATTGGGGGGTTATTGATCACGAGCGAGTGATTGGGGGGGTTATTGATCACGAGCGAGTGATTGGGGGGTTATTGATCACGAGCGAGTGATTGGGGGGGTTATTGATCACGAGCGAGTGATTGGGGGGTTATTGATCACGAGCGAGTGATTGGGGGGTTATTGATCACGAGCGAGTGATTGGGGGGGTTATTGATCACGAGGAGTGATTGGGGGGTTATTGATCACGAGCGAGTGATTGGGGGGGTTATTGATCACGAGGAGTGATTGGGGGGGTTATTGATCACGAGCGAGTGATTGGGGGGTTATTGATCACGAGTGATTGGGGGGTTATTGATCACGAGTGATTGGGGGGTTATTGATCACGAGTGATTGGGGGGTTATTGATCACGAGTGATTGGGGGGTTATCGATCACGAGTGATTGGGGGGTTATGATCACGAGTGATTGGGGGGTTATTGATCACGAGTGATTGGGGGGTTATTGATCACGAGCGAGTGATTGGGGGGTTATTGATCACGAGCGAGTGATTGGGGGGGTTATTGATCACGAGCGAGTGATTGGGGGGGTTATTGATCACGAGCGAGTGATTGGGGGGTTATTGATCACGAGCGAGTGATTGGGGGGTTATTGATCACGAGAGAGTGATTGGGGGGGTTATTGATCACGAGCGAGAGTGATTGGGGGGGTTATTGATCAC